CTCCTCCTCCTCCTCCTCCTCATCATCATCATCATCATCATCATCATCATCATCATTATCATCATCTTCATCATCATCGTCATCATCCTCATCATTTTCTTATCTTCCGATGAAAAATCGCTGACCCATGCAACCGTACAGGACACGACCAGGACCGGTAGGGAAAACCTGACTTGACCAAACGGGAACTTGATGACCAGGAAGCGGTCGAGGGTGATGAGGAAGATAAAGATGGCCGACGACTCGCTGGAACAGAACACAGAAATATGTCATAGAGTTGTGCTTGTGATCTACGTCATAGAGTGAGCGGAATGGGGGTGGGTTTTGTTTTTTGTTTGTTTTTGTTTGTTGTTTTTTTTTGGGGGGGGGAGAGAGAGAGAGACATTCATCTAATTGAGTTGGGGAGGGGGGGGGTACTTTCATAGAATAAAGAAATCTTTCTACGTAAAAAATAAGTCATAAAATAAGGAACGCTTTCCATGTAAAACAGTAAAGAGTGTTTCCTACTTCAAATCATTTTAAACGAGTGCTTTTCATATCACATAGTAACTTGAAATTTCTTCGTCCTAGAAAATGCTATTGCTCAAGGGGTACTTTCTACGTCATAAAGTAGGGAACGTTTTCCTCGTATTAGAGTTAGTCAAAGAGTAATGAAACTTTCTACGTCACACAGTGAAGCGAGCAGGAGTAATAGACTGACCAGAAGAAGGTACTGGGATGACAGACTGACCGCAAAGAGGTAAAAGGAGATTTGGGCTAACAAAATGCGGACGTTGTTTTGTTTTGTTTCTCGCAACTGCATAAGGTCATATGAGCGCCAAGGGGTGGGTGTCAACAGAGAAGTCTTTACATGGAACCAGACTTACTCTGCTCACCTCTCTAGCTTCAACAGCACAAGGTCTGCTTCTACTATTAAGGCACCCCGGAAATAGCAGGTCACAAGAGTGTGACAAACATACAAAAGAAGTAGAGGAAATGACAATAGTAAGGATTAGGAAGGAAAAAGCAGCAGTTCCCTGTTGTAGATCAGGCACAGTTATGAGCGTGACATGAATCAGCCCATTTACAATTCTACCGTGCT